GTGTGTGTGTGTGTGTGTGTGTGTGTGTGTGTGTGTGTATGACAGATACACAAAGAGAAAGAAAGACACAAAGCATGAAGCCCTCGTTCATGTTACCGTTCGCGTCACACGACAAACAAAAATGACTCCATATGCAAACGTCTTTAACTACCGTAGTGGAGCACGAGGAGAGTTTGATTTGTTTAAATGGGCAGTTTTACAATAACACATATTAAAATGTTTGCTGTGTTTAGACGTTTGCTGCAGTTGTTAATTATTTCCCTGTTTTGGACTCTGGTTTAAAACATTGTAACAAATGCTCTGATTTTTTGCAGAAACGGCTGCATCCTTCTGAAAATTACAGTAAGATGTAACAGAAATGCTCAGAGTTGGATGAATTGTTTTATATTTTAAATTTAAACTGATCAAACTAAATTTAGCACAAAAGCAATGAAGGAAATCGGTGTTTGGTAGATTATTTCTTTGTGGTAACAATGCTTCTCGGCGATAAATCTTATATCAGCACCTGATTGTCAGCACCTGGGGGGTATCAGAAGCTCAAAACAAGGATTAATAACACCAACAAGCTGTTTGGCAGAGAAAATATGATGGATTTTCATGTGCACAACCCACATACTCAGCTCTACTGCTCATCCCACAAATGCATGTTCCTTACAAATGTTGCGCCATTTAAAAGGGAAATGAACAGACTTTCCAATGGTATAGGGTTTATTTCCAGAAAAGCATTGTTACAGTAAAGAAATTATTTATTAATTTATTTACTTTTTGTGCTAAGTGTGATTCAATGACTCCTAATGTTACAATCAGGTTGGACCCCTCAGTGTGAGATTATTGATCAATTTTGGGGTCTTATCAGTGGTCTTCTGATTGGAGTTTTTCTGTAAATCCTGATAATGCCAAAATAGCAATAATAGCTGAGCATAATTAAGATTATATTTAGAATTTGAACACTTAAAATAATTTTAAAAAGACCATTCTCGTAAAAAAAAACATAAAAACAAACAAAGATATAAATACATTAAACTGTGGGCTACACCAAGCTGGTTGTAGCAGCCAGCACACAGGCATGGTCTGTTAATAATTATGTTTAAAGAGGCCAATATCAGCCAGTTAATATCAGTCAGCCATTAAAGTTGGTGTAGCTCTATTTGTAAAGATAATCAAATGATGCTTTTTGAAATTTTGCATTTTAAAACTGACGTAAATTGTTGAACTTTTATCAGAAAATTGATGTAGTGGATAATTTTGCCTCCTTATCTGTAATTTATTGACAGAATAATTGAATTAGCCAGCTTTTATGGGATCAGAAAGGATTATTTTCATTGCAAAATCATCTGCTGTTTGCTTTCCTAATGAACTGTTACACATAATATGTTTATAAAATATCAGTATTTCAAAAATCCAGATCGAACACATTCAGATGTTTCGTCTGGCCAGCAGCAACATACCAGCGTGATTGAGTTCCTAGAAGCTAAATCCATTTATGTTTTGTAGGATTTTCTGGGTTCAGTTGATTGGCTGCACGGACAAATTCTTTAATTCGAATTTTTTAGATTTCCACAAGCAAAGCTTGAGCCCCCCATATCAGTGTTTGGGATGTGGTATCACGGCATGTCCCAGAGTCTCTCCAGATTTCTGTGTGGCCTAAACGAACAGATCCCATCTTCATGTGGACTAATGCACACACACACACACACACACCCACTGGAATCCCCCCTCAGACCACCTGCGCTCTACAGTTAACTGAATCCATGTGCGCGGTGGATGTGCTGGTGCGGTGCTGCGGTCTGGTCCTTTTGTGCCATGGGCTCTTGTCGTGCTGCAACTTTAAAGCTGACCTCAGGCCAGACAAACACTGACGCTCGTCCCGCGTTGCACGCCACTACCCTCCGAGTTCAGCGTGACTCCACCGCTCACATCTGCACGCTGGGAAGACACGTGAACAATGTGAACCTTCAACGAAATCCTGCATTCGATTTACATGTTCATCAAATTAAGGCTTCGGATCAAGTCGAGATCGTTATCACCATTTATTTAATTTGCAAAGCATGAGTAATTGGTTTTTAATGTTTTTTTGGGTTTGAAGTCAGCGGCACATCTCTCACACTTTGCTTTAAGTACTTTTCACCAACGCACTCTGTCACCAGACTGGTCGGAAAGGAAAACAAACACTTCCATAAGTCTTTCAGTCCATCCAAAAGCTTTAAATCTAAAGTATGTTTTCCAGTTTATGTATATCAGTGATGTATAAACACTGTGAGCGAGCCTAGCTTCACCCACTAAACTTTATCTCCTATAGGCCGTAAATATTTATCTGATTGTGAGTAGTTGTTGCACAGTTCTGTTTCTCATTTCCACACTCGTGCTGCGTTTTGTTTCATTTGGAGCCCAATTCATCATCACGTAATTTACCAATAAATCTGTTATAGGGTGGAGAGACTCTTCCTATTGCTTCAAACAGCCGGGCCCAGCTTTTTAGGGGGAAAACAATCCGTGTAAAACGCCTGGTGTTAAAGTGAAAATAATAGTGGTGTTGTGCATAAAAAGTTCTGTGATGAATTTTGTCAGATAGAAATGTAAAATAATACTCAGTTTGCCTCGTTGTTTTCTTCCCTCACACAGAGGGACAAAAAAAAGGGGGAAACTTGTGGCCTAAGTTCAGCCACAGTGGGATTTAAATGGTAAACAGTGGCAACAGTCCTTTTCATTCATATATATAT